TCCAAATCATGAGAAGTGAATCACCAGCATTTTGAAATAGTATTTTGATGGAGAATGTGCGTTCATAAAATAAGAAAAAAAATTAGATTTGTGTGTAATATTATTTTATTGGAGAATGTGTGATTGAAAATTAAAAAAGAAAAAAAGAAAAATATGTTTTAAAAATAATGGAACGCTTGACTAGATAGAATATGTTATAAAAAGAGAGAATAAGAGAAATCAATAGACTTATGTGTATTATAATGAGAATCAAAGCCCTATATTTATAGGGAATGAATAAGGATACATACGATAATAATATCTATGGCTGCAAGGGTACATTTTTCATTCACTAATAACTTACTATTTATAATATTCCCCCTTAAATGACACATTACAAAATATTCGTCTCATTAAAACCTTGTTTGATAAAAACTCACTAGGTCAAAAAAAATCAAACGAAGGAAAAATAGTACAGTTATTTTGGAGTATTAAAGATAAATGCTGCCTCATTAAAACCTTGTTAGGAAAACCCAGTGGGATAAAACCTAAACAAGGAAAAAGAGTACAGCTACTCCCCCTGATATTGATCACTGAAAATCTTTGANTGACACATTACAAAATATTCGTCTCATTAAAACCTTGTTTGATAAAAACTCACTAGGTCAAAAAAAATCAAACGAAGGAAAAATAGTACAGTTATTTTGGAGTATTAAAGATAAATGCTGCCTCATTAAAATCTTGCTAGGAAAACCCAGCGAGATAAAACCTAAGCGAAGGAAAAAGAGTACAGCTACTCCCCCGATGTTGATCACTGAAAATTTTTGGGTCGACGCATTCCAATCATGTGAACCAATTTCTTGAATGTAGATGTTGACAGTACTTTTGTAAATAAATCAGTCACATTGTCACTTGAACGAATTTGTTGAACTTTGATATCGTCATTCTTTTGAAGCTCATGTGTATGAATGAATTTTGAAGAAATATGCTTCGTCCGTCACCTTTGATATAAACTTCTTTGAGTTGTGCAATACAAGCAGCATCATCTTCATACAAAATTGTTGGACTATCTTTTGTTAAATTAATCTGCATGATACTTGGATATGATTGGT